CTTCATATAGGGGCTGGAGATGGCTCAGCGGTTAAAAGCACTGGCTGCTGTTGCCCGATGATTCAGATTCAGTTCCCAGAACATGCATGGCAGCTAACAACTGTCTATAACTCTAGTTCCAGGGAATTTGATGACCCTTTCTGGCCTCTAGGCATGTATACGGTGCACAGACAGACATGCAAGCAAAACATCCATACACATAAAATAAATAAATAAATCTTTAAAAAAAGAAAACTAAACTTTATACAGGAATATTTCATCCTAAGTATTTTCTTATTTCTGGCTGTGATGGCCTTTTGGCCCTGCTTAGAAAGTTGTCCCAGCTTCACACTTTGGCTTGACATAAGCACTTAATAAACACAGAATAAAACCAGACTAGTTTTTCTTTCCATGGGTGAAATCTATACTACTAAGCAAAACAGATAACTAGGAAGAATCAAAAAGAATCTGGAAACAATGGAAAGATACAAAACTCAGTTTTAAGACTCTAACCAAGAACCAAAGGTGCTTACAGCATGTATTTGAGAAGCATCTTAGAATTCTGAAAAGCATCCATAGGTTTTGGTTTCTAATCCAAACTAAAATGTAACTCATGTGCCCTTGAAAAATTAATGTCTGACATCCATTTAACCATTTTTTAATTATTATATTTTACTTACTATGTGTACGGGTGTTTTGCCTACATGTATATCTGTGAATCAGATTGTATGCCTGATGCCCCTAGAGGTCAGAAAAAGGTGTCAGACCCCATGGAACTGAAGTGATGGATGGTTGTGAGCTGCCATGCGGGTGCTGGGAATCAAACCCAGGTCTTCTTGAAGAGCAGCTGGTGTTCACAACTACTGAGCCATCTCTCCAGCCCATATTTTCTCATTTGTTTAAGGCAGTGGTTCTCAACCTTCCTAATGCTGTGACCCTTTAATACAGTTCTCATGTTGTGGTAAAACCCAGTCACAAAATTATTTTGTTGTTACTTCTTAACTGTAATTTTGTTACTCTTATGAATTGTAACGTAAATATCCGATATGCAGAATATCTGATATACGACCCCAGAGAAAGGGTCATTCGACCCCCAAAAGGCATTCTGACCTGTGGTTTAAGGGAACCTGTGGTTGTGAACTGCTGGTTTAAGGGAAGGAAAAAACTATTATATACAATTATCCTGAGTATTACATAAAACAAATTATACCAAGTATCAAAAGCATTATAGCAGAAATTACTAAGGGGAGGCAATAATAACAATTGCTAGTATGAATTATGTATGACAACTAGATACTATATTCATTCTTTTTAAAGCTGTCAAAAATCTATGGCTGGCTGAGCGTGGAGGCACATGAATCCCAGCACTTGGGAGGTAAAGACTAGCAGATCTCTGTAAGTTCAAGACCAGCTAGAGCTACATAGTGAGATCCTATCTCAAAAACAAAACATAAACATCATTTTTAAGACTTTCATTATTCCCATTTTAGACTAGAACTTGAATGCAACAGAAGTTGAATGCAACATTACTTAACTACTGAAGGAGCAGCACAGTGTTGAAAGGGGAGTTTCACAGTTGTTATCTTTTAGATGTTATATTATTTAAAGATTTTTAATTAAAGTATAATTATATTATCTTATAAATATTGTGTTAATTTTTTGAGAATTTCATATAATGTATGAACTCCTCCCCTTAACTCTACCTCCCTACCTACCCCCAAGTTTGAGTCTTTTCTTTTTAATTTAGTGACCCATCAGCTTCATCAATATCTGCTGTCCCTAGATTCTGAGTACAGTAGCCACTTCTGCAGCATGGTCAATCTAGCAGGAGTCACACCCAATTGAAAAGTGGCTCTCCTCTGCAGACGAATTTCTAAATGGAGCCATCCAGGGGTGAAAGCCTTAGATCAGGGAAATAGGGAAAGCCACCAGCCACCTTACCTCACCAACGCTGAAGCTTCCAAATGCGAGTTACTTCCTGTCTACCCACACCTTTATTGCCTTGCTGTTCTACCCTCTCACTGGCTGTCTTAGCCCAGCTACCTCATTTCCTCTTCCTACACAGCTCTGTCACTTTCTGCCTGTCTGTACAAACCTTCAGGCCTCTATGGTTGGTACTGGGATTAAAGGTGTGTGTCACCACACTTGGCTCTGTTCCCTAGTGTGGCCTTGAACACACAGAGACCCTGCCTGCTAAGAAGGGTTTAAGGACATGTGCTGCCTGACTTCTTGCCTACTAAAAATGGCTGGCCTTTGCCCCCTGATCTCCAGGCAAGCTTTATTTATTAATGCACAAATAAAGTATCACCACTTTTCCCTTTTTGTCTAATAAAAATAAAAAAATTGAAAAAGTTATAAGAAAAACTATATACAATAAGTACAATAACTATATACAATATATACAAGCAATAAATACATCAACAATGTCTAGTCCATTTGCATTGACAAATTCAGAAGAAATATTCCATTATCTATCTTATTTTGGTGAGTCCAAAATGTACCTAATCCACTTTCTATCCTAACTTATATTACCAAGAGAAAACTATCTTACGATGTCTTTCAAACTTATACACTTTACACCTTCTTAGTGAGTTTCTTTTCTGAATTTCTTAACAAGGAAAATTGTTAATCCAACTATCTAATTTTCAGCTCCCTCAGAGACCCAAGAAGGAAATAATATTACCTAGTAAAACAGGAAGTGCAAACAAGCAACTTCCAAAAAAATGTGAGTTGTCAGAAACAGCCAGCTGCCTGGGCAGTTACCCGAGGTTTCTCTGCATGTTGGAGCATCATCTTCGGCCTACAGGCTTAGCGTATCTGACAGACTCATTTGTGAAGTAGGATGTACACAAGGCCTATAGCTTGACCTCACATTCAGTGTGAATGTTCCATGTACCAGATAAACTTGAATTCAGCCAGTGTCCTGTCATGACTCAGGATTTTAAATTCTGGAAATTGCTGTGTTTTCGGAATTTGGCTGCCCATTCTTCCCCTGGCTGTGGCGAATTCACATCATGTGGGCTGGAGCTACAGCATGGCAGATTACCACTGAGTTACACAGAGGTTTTTGCAAGCCACACAACATGGTGCATGGTGGATATAGCTTTTGCTACTTAAAAAAAAAAAGAAAGAAAGAAAGAAAAGAGGTTTCTGGGCTGTACACTGCTGGATGGAAGCATAGACCCACTGCTTCCCAGAGTCAGCAGTGAGCATGGTTCCCAGTGCTGCCTGTAAACGTAGTTCCACCATGTTGGGAAGCTGAGGTAGGCAGAGCCAGCAGCCAAAGCTGCCATTTCAGTCCTAGTAATACTGCAGTTTAAAGCAACAGATTTACAGTAAGTCAGATTCAGATTAAATAAACCTCTCAACAGTTTATGGTGTGTGTAAAAATGTACGTAGGTTTGGAAGAGAGAGGAAAAGGAATATAGACAGTTATATAAAGAAATAGTTTTAAAAAATAAAGTCTTTAAAGAGACAGTAAAGGTAATATAAAAAATAAGTCATTGGCCGGGCAGTGGTGGCTCACGCCTTTAATCCCAGCACTTGGGAGGCAAAGCCAGGTGGATCTCTGTGAGTTCGAGGCCAGCCTGGACTACCAAGTGAGTTCCAGGAAAAGGCACACAGCTACACAGAGAAACCCTGTCTCGAAAAACAAAACAAACAAACAAATAAATAAATAAATAAGTCACATAAAGATGGATATGACACAGAGAATCTAGATTGTGTTGTCTTTGGGATTTTTAACTACAGAGAGACATTTGATTGTAAAGGCTGCTCAGTTAAACCAATATGTATATTTTAAAGGCATCCTGACTTCAAAATTGGATCTATGGATATGTTGTTTTGGAAAGGAGGCTCTGCCAGACCTCCTGAACCTTAACAGATAGTACCTATCAATAAAGGTTATAACCAGTCTTCCTAGGACTTGACCATTATCTCGAATTTTCTCATAAGACTACCAGCGCCCCCTATCAGCAGGAAGTAGCCTAGAAAACTACGCCCATGTTACTAAAAACGAATTATGTCTTTGTTTAGGTTGTTGGTTACAACTGTTATTGGTCATAGTCAATCTCTTTCTAAAAGACAAAAGGGGGATATGATAAGAGAGAATATAGGATATAGATATGATAGAATAAAAGGATTGTTGAACCTTCTTTTAAACAGCAACTTGTTTAAAATGTTTTACATTGGTATAGATTCTAGTTTATTGATACAAATTCAAAGTCAATTTTGTTATGTTATATATATTTCTACTCTCATTTATGGTACTGTTTATATAATTCATTTAAATTGTAATGGATAATTAAGAAATACAGATTAATAATTAATCTTCTTGGATAGTCAAACTTATAGTCATATTGAGTTTTCTAGATATACATAGATATAATTCAATTAGGTATACATAGATATAATTCAACTAGGTAGGTAATCATCAAACTTACAGAATACGGCATTTAAAATGTTTTAAAAACTTAAGACTTTCCTGGACAATGAGGCATGTCTGTTCCTGGCAGCACTGATTTACTTCAGAGAGAAAGATGGGTGTCAAAGACACTCTATATGGAGTTTATCTTCTTTTTGGCAAAAATAGCCATTTGGGCTGCTTGACAAAATGTTGTATCAACTGGACATGCAGGACCCATAGGAAAGTGACCACTGAACTTTGCAAGGCAAAATGGTCCTTCAGGTTCCTGCTTCACAGAAGAAACTGCCAGACATTCTACAGGACACAGAGAAAAGTAACTGAGAAACTCTAGGCCTATAGGCTGAAAATGGATGCCCCAAGCCAGCTGTCGCTGTCGTTCTAGATTTTTGGAAGTTGCTTACAATGCACTTCCTGTTTACTTAGATAGTATTACATCTTTCTGAGGTCTTGATGTAGTTGAAGACTAGAGAAGGAAGGAAGGAAAGAAGGAAGGGAGGGAAAGAGGGAGGGAGGGAGGAAGGGAGGAAGAAAAGAAATGAAAAGATAGAAAAGAAAAGAAATCTAACGGTAGACCAGGCATAGTGGTGCATACCTTTAAAATCCTAGCACTACTAAGGCAGAGACAGGAAGATCTCTTTTGAGTTTGAGGCTAGCCTGGTCTACATTGTGAGTTCCAGAATAGTCAGGGCTAGAGAGACTATCTCAAAGACAAACCCTGTCTGTGTGGCTATGTTTACAGGAGTCCAGATGCCTGAAGAGGTCAGAGGCAACAAGGCCCCTCAAGCTAGAGTTGCAGACAGTTGTGAATCACCTGACATCAGCGTTGGGAACTGAATTTGGATCCTCTACAAGATCAGTAGGTGCTCTTAACCACTAAGACCTCACTCTAATTCCTTGATTTTGTTCATTTTAATGGAATTTGAAAGAACCATATTGCAGCAGCTGGAGAGATGGCTCAGCGGTTAGGAGCACTGGCTGCTCATCCAGAGGACCCAGGTTCAATTCCCAGCACCCACATGGCAGTTCATAACTGTCTATAACTCCTGTTCCAAGGGATTCCGCACTCTCACCCAGACATACATGCAGGCAAAACACCAATGTACATAAAATACCAATAAATAAATTTTAAAAAAAGAACCATATTGCTTAGGGAAAGCAGCTAGCAGTATACTGAATCTAGTCTGTTTGCTCCATGCAAACAGCTGTTCCACAAAGACTTTATTAGCTCCTAGCAGATCTTCCTTCTCTTCTCTCTGCTAAGCATACTCAGGTTCCTCAGAAGTTCTTCCTCTCCTTTTGACAAATCAAAAATCCTCCCTCAATAAAATAAAGTAATAGAAGCAAAAAATATTTGTTTTTATTATTTCAAGTTCTTAATTCTATGTGTGTCTATGATGCCATATGGAGTTATCTGTGGCTGTGAACTGCCTGATATTGGTACTGGAATCCTTAGAAGAAGAAGCTCAAGTCAATGCTCCAGTTCTTCCCACCACCACCACCACCCCAAAGCTCACCTTTCCTAATAGCTTTCAAAGCAAAGCCAACACTACAAATGTATACCAGCCAAAATGGAATCCTACTGGTAGCCTGGTACTTCATTTGCTTGGGTAGGGAAGTGTTGTTTTGTGGTTTTGTTGGGTTTTGTAGGTCATTTTGTAACCCTGGCTTGCCTCGAACTCCTTATACAGATGAGGCTGGGCTCCAAATAAAGAGATCTGCCTGTCTCTCCTTCCCAAGTGCTAGGACCAAAGGCATGCAGCACCACACGCAACCCAAGTTATAATTTCTTTGGCTTACTCACCCATTTTTCTAAACTCAATAGAAATCTGTTGTCATTCAGTAACACTGCACTATCAGAGGTTATCTATCAGTACTGACAGCTTATACTAGTCATAGTCACTGTCTTTTTTCTCAACTTTCTGAAACCCACTTTTCTGAGGACTCCAACTAAAACTCCAAGCTGACATGGTCACTACTTATTAACTGAAACACTTCAGTGAATAGCTGTGAGCCATGCAGTCACACGTGTCACTGTGTGACCCACCCTGACTGCCCATTTCTACATCAGTACTCACAAGCCTCTGCTTTATAGATTCCAACCAGAATGCACTAAGTTTATTTATAAGGAAAATACAGCTTAGAGATAAAGAAATTTGCTTAAACTTACAAAGCTAATAAGGGTTAAAGTCAGAATTTAAATTCAAGTTTCAAGCCCATGTTCTTTACATTATACCACCCAAAACCATGACTAAAAAAGGGCCCACCTGCCCACAAACAGGTGTTCAATAATGGCAAATTCCAAGTCTCTCACTGCTCTTCATCAGTGATCAGAACCAGCAATTCTTTTTTTTTAAGCTTTATTTGAAGCTAAAGAGATGTCTCAGCAGTATACGAGCACTAGCTGTCCTTTCAGAACACCCACACAGCAGCTCACAACCATCTGTGACTCTAGCCCCAGGAGATCTGATGCCCTCTTCTGGTCTCTGCAGGCGTTGCATGCACAAATGCACAGACACACATGCAGGCAAAAATACATACACACAAAAGAAAAGGGGCAAATAATTCTTACAAAAGCTTTATTATGAGTTTTAAGCCTGATGCCTGCAGAAATCAGAAAAGGGTGCCAGGTCCCCTGGAAATGTAGTTCCAGATGATTGTGAACTACCATATGGGTGATGAGAACTGAACTGCAAGAGCAATAGCTCTTAACCTCAGAGTCATTTCTCCAATCCCAATTCTTTTCAATTTTTAAATTTATCAGCAAAAATAAAAACTTAGCAAATGCTATGATAATTTTTATTAGTAGTGTATTGTTATTTGATCCACAAACTAAAAATCTCAAAACTATGCCAAAGCTACTCTTCCAATTCTTCAGTTTTAAGGAAACTCTTGCACTGAAGCAGGATAGAAGACAAATTATGGAGACATGGGAAGAAAAGGAGTCCACCATCAGAGTCTGAGTGGAGTCTCTTATTAGCTGAGAAGCAACTTCAGCAGTTAACATTTGCTATTAAGGCTGCCAACACATCTTTCATATACAGATAGTTTATGCTGATGTAGCAATGACCTAAGCCTGAGGCCTGAATATCCAGGACCTTGGGCAAGGCCTCATTCCTTTCCCCACACAGGGCCAGATAATCTACACAACAGTTTACAATAGGGTTGGAGAGATAGATCAGTAGTTGAGAGTACCAACTGCTCTTCCAGAGGACCTGGGTTCAATTCCTAACACCAATATGATATACTTCATAACACTCTATAACTCCAGTTTCAGGGGATCTGACACCCTCCTTGGCCTCCAAGGTACACATAAATTAAAATAATTTAAAAAAAAAAACTATTAACAGCAAGGTATCTACTTTCCTGTAACCCCATGGACTAGACTTCTCTATCAATTATAATTCTATTAGGCACCTTTTAAGGACAAATCAGTGATAATATAGTAACTTTCAATGCAACCAAAATCCTACAAAAACCAAGAATTCATCTTGAAGCAGCCCACCCGTGAGCTCCGCTCCAGTATGCCTTACTTTCTTACTTACTTTTTGGCCTGACTGTCATGCTGAAACCTGTGGTAAAACATCTGTAACAAAATTTACAATTCTGTTTCACTAGCTGGCTAGTCCTGAAATTCTTTAGTGTCAAAAGCCACAAATCCTAGTTCAACAGGACTCAAGGTCCCTGAAATTCTAGGGGAACTCCTCAGGCTGCTGAGGATAACAGTGTGGGAATCGTGCCTGCCTCTCTACCCCCAAACACTGACAGCAGAGCCATAAAAACCCAGGAGTTCAAAGATGTAAGAAGTCAGGTATGGCAGGAGTTGGTGGCACAGCTCTGTCATCTCAGCATGGCACATGGGAGGCTGACAAAGACGACGACAAAGAGGAACTTGAGGCTAGTCTGGGTGTCTAGAGACACCTTGTCTCAAAACACAAAATGACAAAAACTCTCGAGCCAAGCAGGGTGCAGTGGTGCATGCCATGATCCAGCAGTTGGTAGGTTGGGGCAGATTTTCTGTTCAGAACCATCTGGGACTACATAATAAAATTCCATCTCAAAAACAAAACAAAGTAAAACAAACCAACCTTTTAAATGATTTATGAAGCATGGCAAACTTGGAGAACCTGTGCCTTATAGTTACAAATTAATCAAAAACGTCTTGGTCAAATCAAAGTCGGCTAACAGAAAGAAAAGTATGCAAGTAGCTAAGGTCAAGCCAGAAAATGCTGTGACTAGTTCACCAACACTAGCATTTGTGGGCCGACTATGATAGTACACATATGGAATCCCAACACTTGGAAGACGGAGGCAAGAAGATCAGGAATTCAAAGTCATCCTCAGCTACACAATGAGTTTGAGGCTAGCCTGGGCAACATGAGCTGCCACCCCTCACCCCTAAGGCATTTATTAACTGAGTATAGCTGAAGAGAAAAACACTTGCTCAAAGACCAGGGTTTCATCGATAGTAACACACACATTTATTTGAGATTGACAAACAACTCTGTAACAATCAAATGTCACTCTGTCCTCTATTATCCATAATATAATGTTCTCCTAAATGTTCCATCAAAACCTGACAGAGCTGGAGAGAGCTCAGCAGTCAAGAGTGCTTAAATTATGTGCAAAAACACAGTAATTAAGAAAGCAAAGTGGTAGGAAATTACAAAAGAATAGTTTCTACTCAGAAAGTTGCACTTACATCAGAAGGTAACCTGAAAGAGACACTAACTTGGTAAGGGTCTCCCATGATTCACATTTGCATAGCTGCTTACAATGCAACTTTATAATCTGCAAACTACTATGTACATAAATATTTTGAATGCAGAACAGCTTTAATTTATATTAGGACTTTTTCTTGGTGGAATCTCTCAATAGTCTTTATAATAACTGAAGATTCTACAAGCAACCCCCAAAACTGGCACAGGAATCACTACTACCTGAAGAATTCCAAGAATGTAAAGCAAGCTACCAAGTAATGAAAAGGCACTAGCTGCTCAGGACTGCTAGACTCAAATCTTCAGAACAACATGAAGCTGGGGGAGCAGCTGAGGTACTGATGTAAGGCAGCACTGACAGAAACTAAAAATACACTGTTTACTTAAACCCCATTAAAACAAACGTGTTCTACCAGTCCAAATGCACAGGCAGCTTTTCTCTGCAGACCCTCATCCTTCCTGGAAACTATGACTGTCTTTAGAAAACGTCTAAGTTAGTGTTGAGATCCCATCGCAGGTTACACAATGAAGTAATGATAAAGTAGATGAATCTCACCATGTTGAGCGAAAACAGCCAAACACAACGAAGCACACACTCTACGCTGAGAAATAAACAAGACATTGTGTGGTCCTGGACATCAAAATTATAGTTCTCTCCAGGGGAGGAAAGGATGGTTAATAGCCAGAGGAAGGGTACAAGAGTTTCTGGGTTTTTCGAATACCCTGCTTCTCAGGGATAACTACCGGTATGCCTAGCCTGTGCAAATCCACTTAGCTGTACACTTGTGAAAACTTTCTATGTATATCACACTTTTACATGTTCAAAAACAGGGAGGGGAAAAAGACAAAATGTCTCCCCACAAGCAAGGAAACATTACTGTAAAAACAAGTTTATACTTAGTGGGAATAGTTCAGGTAAGAACTTTAGGTGTATGGGAGAGAGAGACTAGTTAGTACTAAGTGGTAGAGCACTTGCTAGCACGGGTGAGGCTTGGGGGTGGGGAGATGACAGGCTGGAGTAAAGGCTGGATAGTTCAGAAGAGTATTACAACTAAGTGCAAGTACAGGCTCATAATCCTAGCATTTGGGAGGAGGAGGCATGAGGTTCAAAAAAGTGTAGACCTTAAGCTATGTGGCAAGT